CGCCCGGCTAGTTTTTTGTATTTTTTTAGTAGAGACGGGGTTTCACCGTGTTAGCCAGGATGGTCTCGATCTCCTGACCTCGTGATCCGCCTGTCTCGGCCTCCCAAAGTGCTGGGATTACAGGCTTGAGCCACCGCGCCCGGCCTTCCCTACATATTTCTATATTATCTTAAATTTTTTTACAAACATGTATTAAATTTCTAATTTACAAATAAAAATTTTCACACTATTACTGTTCAACTGTCCTTTCGAGACAACGCTTATAAAATACCACTTTTCCAGATCACCCCAACAGCAAACTGCAGAAGGACGACCAACAGCAGGATAACTCACCCGAAAGTCCTCCCCTGGGAAGGGTCTTCGGCAGACTGTGCAGGTGGCAGAGGCAAAGGTTCCATGAGCTTCAACCAGCTTTGAGGCAGGGATGCCCGACACTGAAATTCAAGCCAAAGCTAAGTGTTGCTGCTGCCTCCAAGATGAGCACACAAGTCCCAGAGCACAACTTCTGGGCTTGACAGGCCTCCTGGAAGGAGGCACAACCCCGTTGGGTTGCGATGTCCTCAAGCCTGGTGTTCATGCCCATATCACCTACATGCTCCACCAACCAGAAGAAGGCAGGGGAGCAAAGGGGCACCCAGCTGGAGCCAAATCACGGTTAAAACAAAGCCTGTCAAAACTCCGTACAAAACACCATTTGATAAAAGCTCAAATAAAATTACATCCAGTCGGGCACGGTGGCCCACGCCTGTAATCCCAACACTTTGGGAGGCCAAGGTGGGCAGATCATTCGAGGTTAGGAGTTTGAGACCAGCCTGGCCAACATGGTGAAACTCTACCTCCACTAAAAATACAAAAATTAGCCGAATGTGGTGGCGGGCACCTGTAGTCCCAGTTACTCGGGGAGGCTGAGGCAGGAGAATCGCTTGAACCTGGGAGGTGGAGGTTGCAGTGAGCTGAGATCGTGCTACTGCCCTCCAGTTTGGGCAACAGAGAGAGATTCTGTCTCAAAAACAAAAATTATATCCAATACCAGGCTGGGTGGGCACAGTGGCTCACAGCTGTAATCCCAGTGCTTTGGAAGGCCAAGGCAGGAGGATCACTTGAGGCCAGGAGTTTGAGACCAACCTGGGCAACATAGTGAGACTTGTCTTTAAAAATTTTACAAATTAGCCAGGCATGGTAGTGCATGCCTGTAGTCCCAGCTAGTCCAGAGGCTGAGGCAAAAGGATCACTTCAGCCCAAGAGCTCAGGCTATAGTGAGCTATGATCATGCCACTGCACTCTAGCCTGGGCAACAGAGCCAAGACCCTGTCTCAAAAAATTGTATCCAATATCTAGGAACACATTTTCTATTCTATACCAAGTTAAAATGAGGATATAGGCCAGGCGCGGTGGCTCAAGCCTGTAATCCCAGCACTTTGGGAGGCCAAGGCGGGTGGATCACGAGGTCAGGAGATCGAGACTATCCTGGCTAACACGGTGAAACCCCATCTCTACTAAAAATACAAAAAACTAGCC